GCGGGCGGGCGGGCTACCTCCAGGGGCCGAGCCCCTGCAAACTGCGGCGTAGGCCGCCTGGTGGACAGGGGCGCGGGCGGGCGGGCTCCCTCCAGGGGCTGAGCGCCTGCAGACTACGGCATAGGCCGCCCGGTGCACAGGAGCGCAGGCGGGCGGGTTACCTCCAGGGGGCGAGCCCCTGCAGACTGCGGCATAGGCCGCCCGGTGGACAGAGGCGCGGGCGGGCGGGCTACCTCCAGGGGCCCCTGCAGACTGCGACATAGGCCGCCCGGTGGACAGGGGCGCGAGCGGGCAGGCTAGCGCCCGGGCGCCCCCGCCTCAGCAGCGGCGAGTTGTGTCGTGTCGGTGCACCGCACTGCGACACCACTCCCCCTCCCCCACCCCTCAACCTCGAACACCACGCCCGCGCCGCTACGCTCCGCCGCCATTCCAATGCCAATTTGCGTTGGCTGAGCGCCGCCGCTGCTGCACGCTTCCGCTGTTTTCGCCACTGTTGCTGGACTCTGGACCCATAGCAGAGCCCTTATTCGGGCCAAAAACGAGACTGTTGATGCGATTACAGGCGCGGTGCAGCCCAGCCGGAAGGTCAAAGGGCGGGGCGGCCCGCAGGGCTGGTCTGGGCCGTAAATTGGTTATTACCTATCTCGGAACACCTCGGCGACGTCATCGCGATCACCGCCAGCGGGCCCGGCCCAGGCGGGAGCCTCCATCTGGAGCCCTCCACCCGAGGGGGCCTCAACTGCGGCAATCTGGTGTGTACACCCACTCCGACAATCTACGATAATCTTCGGTAATCTCTAGGTAATCGGCTGCAAAATCCCTGCTTTTTGCCCACATTCAGGATGACATTGGTGCGTTTTGCGTAGTTACAGTCGGTTTATGCCCTTAAAGCTAAATTTTCGTCAAGCAATCTGGTGTACATCCTACAAGAGAGTTGAGGCCCCCTCGCTTCCACCCAGCCTATAGGCCGCATCCAGCCGATCCAGCCGCGCGACTGTTGTGCTGTTGTGCGGACAGATGGGCAGAGCTCGATTGGCAGAGCCCAAAAGTGCAAGCTGGCGGGAAGTTGCTGAGCCGACAGTCGCGGCGCAGCCACCATCACACATCTGGGTCACTCATATTTCGGTAACGTTCTTAAGGAGGTATTTCCCCTCTGGATAATTACCCGATAAATGTTAGATATTTTGGTAGTGCGAGGATGGTGTAAATATAACCATTGAACAATGATAATGAAACGTAACTATAACTATAAATATGGTCTGTATGTACCGCTTGAATTAAGACATCGGACAGGGTGGGATCTTACCTCTCACTCCTTTCATACCCCACCCCCTCTCTCTCTCTCTCTCTCTCTCTCTCTCTCTCTCTCTCTCTCTCTCTCTCTCTCTCTGGCCCGTTCGTCCGTACAGGGTGCAGGGTGTGTGACTGGTGTGGACCCAAGTAATTGGGCCTCCGTCCCGCGGGCCTCCATCACGTGACCCCCGACGGCCAGCGGTGGTGTCACGCGTGACGCCTTCTGCGCGTCAGCGTGGGCGGGGAGAGAGAGAGGGGGGCGCAAGAGGGGCGGGCAGTAAAACAGAGAAATGGTAATAGACACGTCTGGCACAATGAGATCATGGAGGAAAGGGCTAGACCGCCCCCGCGCGCCTCCAGCCACCCCCAGCTACTCCCGTCCACCCCCCACCAGCCCCTGCGTGTCGTGCCAGAGGCCAGAGGCGGACTCCAGCGGCGTCAGCGGCGGCTCAAAGGAGGACGGAGGTGCGGAGGTGCGAACGAACATCTCGCTGCTCCAGGCGTGCTTAAGGCACCAGGCGACAGGGGGTGGGATGTGGATGATTGAAGCTACCGCCAGCGCCGACCGGGTCCCGGGCCTTGTGTTCCCTTCTAAATTGGTTTTGCTGGGGGAATGCAAAGGTGGTTAGTCTCATCTCATCCCAGTCGCTAGTCGCTTTGTCAACAAGCAAGTTTGCCGATGAAAAATAAAGCAGAGTTCGAAGAGAACAGAGCGGACGGACTTCAACGGCATTTGAAAGCAATTGCGGGAATCGCTCTGATTCTCTCTCCTCTCCCATCATCGGAAGCACCGGTTGCTTAAACACAAACGTGGTCTGCGAAAAGTTTCCAGCCTCTCTCGGTGTCCCCGCCTCCCCGCTGAGGCCTCCGCCCGCTCCACGTGTCCGTCGGGGCGTATTGTGCGACTGGTGCGTCAGCGCGTCAGCCCGGGCGGATGCCTCGCCTCGTAGTCAGATTCCACGACGAATCACCCAAGTTGTCAGCCGCACAAATTGGCCCACTGCAAGCCCCCGCCCCGCCCCATCCGGACCATCCCGGACAGAGCGAAAGAAGAGGAAGGCTGCAAAAGTTTGGACTAAGTTTGCCCAGACATATGACGATCGTGTCCCATGACCTTTAGAGCGCAGAGCGACGGAGCTCCGACGGCCGACCCCGAAATTGGCTCGAGAGCTTTGTCATTTATTTTCAGCCATTTCCAGAGTAGGCTCTTTTTCTCTTACTCTGAGCGAGCCCTTTGTCAACCCCACGAAGAAATCAAATCCATGGAATGTCTCAATATTGTTGTTAAGTGAGAGACACATGTCTGAAAAGAAAAGGTCCACACCATAGAAACAGCGGCCACGTCTCTAGCCCCACGAAATAATTGGTTTATTGTGTCTGTATGGGGAATCAATGGGTCTTACCGCAGTGGAAACACTAAAGCTTTCTCAAGACTAAAGTAAGGCGAAAGCGTTCAGTGGATTTAAAAGAGACGCAGTTGCGCGCCAATGAAGTATCGCATAGTTTTTCATGATTTGCATTCAGTCTGGCCAAACCAGTTTTGCGCCTGCCAGCTTCCACCTAAGTCAAAATTTGTTAAATCGACACTCAGATTTACAAAAGTGTTAGAATATTGAGAGGAAAATGAGCATATGGCGAAAAAAAGAGTTGGCATTGTTCATAAAATGGATGGATATTTTTTCCCGTAGCTCCGTTCTGTACACAAAATATTGTCATACTTTCGTCACGATAACATCGAGAAAGACAAAGACAGACGACAGTTACTTGCTTGACAGACAGCAGACAGAAGCTCTGTCAGAGATCAATTTATATTTCAGAAAATTGCCGCAGTCAGAGTCTCAGCTGGTAATACTCAGTCTCCGTACGTAATAGTATCTTTTATGTAAGCCCCACTTATTGGCACACTTTTCGTTTGTATTGATTGTTAAACTAATGGCCCACAAATCTCATTGAGGAAGGGCCTTGGAACAGCTGCTTCATAGCTTTGTTATTGTCTGTTTTCTACCATTTCCATCAGTTATTCCCTATTTCAGTTTTTTACTCTGTTCAATTCAAAAATGTGTGTCATTGGGTTTCTTAAATCATTCAAATTTTTATTTAAGGGATATGATTTTTCCAAATTTAATTAGCATGTTTTTCAGCTTTGTCATTTGGCTCCTGTGGAGAGGATTCGGATCAAACATGATTACAAAAGCAAGAAATCTCCTGCTTGGTGTCTTATTGGTATACTTTGTGTCATGGTAAGTAAACTAGATGTACTACAATGTCTTTTGCTCTTTTCAAGACATGCAGATTCTTTGCCAGGTGTATTAGCTTGATTTGTTAAATACCTTTTGCAAGAGATGCATATTATTTTTATAAACGTCAATGTATTTATTTATTTTTTCAGTGCTGAATCAGCTGGAAGCCGTAATAGCAAGGATTGGGATTATATTGTATATACTCAACACTGGCCAGCTACTGTGTGTCTCCAATGGAAAGCCGAAGGGAAGGGTCATTCTTGTGCTCTTCCAAAAGAGTCCACTTGGACTGTTCATGGTCTCTGGTGAGTGCTCTGCCATTAGTTAGTTTTTAAAATGTTTACTGATAAACTGCAACTCATTTTTCAAACATACTTCTTTTTCAGGCCTTCTAAAACCAATGGCAAGGGACCCTTTTTCTGTAATTCCTCATTGCCATTTGATGAAGAAGCTCTCTCTCCCATAGTCAATGAATTAGAAGATCTGTGGATCAATATTGATGTGCCAACATCCCCTTACTCTTTCTGGAGACACGAGTGGGAGAAACATGGAACCTGTGCAGCAGCACTGCCTGCATTTGATAAAGAAGTAAAATACTTTCAGCAAGGGCTCACATGGTTAAAGAAGTACAACATGTATACTGCTTTGGACATGGAGGGTTACCCAGAGGGCAAACCACTTTCGGCAAAACAAATCAGAGAGGCGATTAAGAAGCATTTTGGAAAAGTGCCCTCAGTTCATTGTTATAAAGATGGGGTAATTATTTCTTATTATAAACTTATTCTACATTATGTTGTCTTCTTTTTGAACAGTACTCATTTACCCTATTAATTTCTTGTTTCTTAGTCTACAGGCAAGTCATACATCTTTGAAATAAGGATTTGCTTTGACAGGAATCTGAGTCAAATCGACTGCCCCAAGCCAATGTCTTCAAACTGTCCCAATGAACCCGTTGAGTACCCCAGCATGCAAGCTGTCGGCAAACTGTTTGAAGTTAAAGGAAAATGGTTACTTGACCTACTTCGTATTGTTCGTTGGATCCAATGGATCACTTATTAGAAGAATTACATCAATTTGGGTTTTTTTCAATCAGAGGATTTCTTTCTTAGATATGCAGTGAATTTTAAGTAAATGCACCAATATGATGCAAATTTCTCAGTATAATACTTGTGTAACACATTGAGTCCCAGGGGGGGTAGCAAACATGTGTTATTGTGACAATGCGTGTGGTCATGTGGGACTCAACGTGTTTATAATGCAGATAGATGCTACAAATTCTACTGGGTTAGCCAATTTTAAATTTAAGTGAAGCTTAAAGTTAGTTAATGAAGAAAATAGTTTAGACAGACAACAAGCAAGATTTTGGCAGTATGCCTTGTTTTAGAAAAACCCTACAATATTAGGTACAGTAATCATACTAGTAGAAATACTTCTAAAGAACTTTCCTCTTGTCATTTAATGGAAAACTCATATTTTACTTCTGCTGTGATAACCATTCTGTTAATTTGTATTTCTTTTCTTTCTTTTTCTACTTGGGATGTGAGAAGAGTTAAAAGAGTAAAATGTGAAATGGTTTGCTATTCATGTATGAGACTTGACTGTGAATTAATTTTCCTGCTACATGCTATTCAAAGAATACATTACGTACTTCTGAGCATATGACACTTTCCTTGTTTCATGGAATGTTTTGTCATTAAATCCTCTAGATGTTTTTCAAGCAATTGCCCAATATCTAGTCATCAGCTTAATGAAATGCTTAGCCTTCTGTGCCTTACTTCTTTACATTTAAATCATGTTTTAAGTTTTTGAATCCTTTATTTCTTTTTGTGCAATTATCTTTGTGCTCTTACTGTTTTTAGAGGCATAATTTATTTCTCAAACAGTGCTATTAGATTCTGAATGCAAACAATGAAGAGGGGAAAATCTGTGTATCTGATATTGTCTTGCAAGTGCCATGTCTCTAATATTATTTCCGTAAACTTTTTTAAGTGCTCTTATTGATGCACATTCTACTGCTGTGATGTTGTGCTAGAGGAGTTTTTAAGTAATATTGTTATTTAGATGGGAAAATTTTGAACATCTCAATTGTATAGATGGACCCAAAATTGTGATTTAGCATGAGGTGATGAATGAGAGTCATTTGCTAAGTGCTGAAAAAGATACTTTTTCCTTTTAGATTGTTTTCTTGACTATTTGTGAATTACAATAAGGCTGACATTAGCTCACTATACTTATACTTGTTTTAGATTTGTTCTTCACTCTTGGTACCTTTGGCTTTTTATCTTTTTTTTTTTTTATAGAATCATTGTCTTTTGTAGGCACTATGCTTTCAATTGTGAATGAGTCATCTTTTAACCTTGCCCCAGATTCTACTATATGTAAGCACTTACTATTATGCAATTTCAAGGAATTTTTGGCCTTAATAAGGTTTTAGTATTAATTCTTCAGCCAAAATATTTGTAAGGAAGGTAGAACAATGCTTCACCGCCTCTGTTCTAAGGTGACTGTATTGTGCTAATTACATAGGTGTTCAAAATTTAGGGCAGACTGAAAACTGTGAAATCTGGAATGGTATCAATGAGTGGAAGATAAATAAAGATAGTTAAATAACCTCTAGAATTTCATTTATGCAGTAAAAACCAAGTGGTTTGATTTAAAATGTCACTTCAGCATCATACATTACAATAAGAAGATTTGATGTTATTTCATTATCCATACAAGAATATCATTTTAACCAATATATCATAATTGGATTATAGAATATATACCGTTAGCAGACAGAAATTACTGTGGCTTGCCCAAAATTAAAACTGAAGAAGGAACAAGACCTAGAGAAAAACACAAAGACACATCTTTAAAACCATTGTTCCACAAATTCATGCATAACAGTGCACACAGAACACAACACCTACCTAGAATTTCAAGAGGCTTTTCAAAATCTTCAGGCATGAACACCTTTTTGGGAAAAGTTGTCATTAGACTAAATGGAGCATTTCCATCAGATCTATTGAGATCAATAAAAACGCGCACAGCTGAAAGTGTCTCCTTGGCGCCAAATGTTTGAGTGATTGCTTGACCATTGGTAAGTCTTATCTGAGGGTAAAATAGAAGAAATTTCACACTAGTCAATGGAACTTTGTCATGATTAATGAAAGTTATTGTAGGGTAGAACCAGAGGAATTTACCTGGAGCCTAGTTTCAGTGTAATCCTTAGGGGCAGCAGCAGGTTTGGCTACTACTGGGGCCGGTGTGGCGGTAGGAGGAACAGGAGGGGCCACAGCACCTCCTTGAGCTGCTTCAGCCTTCGCTTTCCTAGCAGCCTTATCAGCTTCGATTTGTGCACGCACTCTCTCTCTTGCTTTCCTATCATCTTCTTTTTCTTTTCTCCTAAGTTCTGCTAATTTTTTTATTTCTTGCTCTTCCAGCCTGCAAAATGATAAGGACATTAAAAACACACTCATCACTCTAATAGCAGTCACAAATTAAATTAAAATATCGGTGACATTACGAAAATGAATTAATCTCTAATGAACAAAGAAAGAAATTTAAACTCACTTGCGTTTAGCTTCAATCATCTCCTTTCCAGATCGGATTCTGTCTCTTTCGCGCTCAATAGCTTCAAGCTTCTCTTTCTCCTCACGCTCTTTCCTCTTCTGCTTCATTTTTTCTTCAAGCTTACGAACTTGTTCAGCTTTTTCTTCATCAGTTAGTGGTTTCTTTTCTTCAGTAGATTCAGAAAAGTCAGTGTGCTGTGTTTTAGCAGCATGGAATTCAACTTCAGCTTGTGTCTTAAAAAGTTTGTTACACCTAAAAATAAAAAAATATTTATTTATTTCAGAATAGAATAATCCTAGTATTTTCGTCCTATCTCTGTCGTCACTTACTCATTGCACTTGATGGACTTTGCTTCAGCATCAGTAGCTGCTGCTCCATTATCACTAGATGCCGCATCATTGTCAGCCGGACTTGTCTCTACATCATCATTGTGCGCCAACAACCTATGACCAAAGCAATTATTAGCAATACTTAGTAATACAAAATTTAAAACTAAGGGCCAGACATTAATACAGAATCCGTCATGTTTTTAATACAAAATGAATCAAGTTCTCTAATGCACAATAATTGACAATACATGTACAATACCCGCAATGGGCACCATAAGGATGATTCAAAGGGTTTGAGGAAATATTGATCAAATGATTTCACAGATCGTTCTAAATGAATTTTCAAAATTACGCAACAACGCACGTCAATGAGATTGCATTAAATACTGTTGCCGCACTTACCACTCCATCGCCGGTTCCACTCCTCTGTTGCCAGTTACTTGTAGTGCCTTTTCGCTGAAAATCGAAGAGAATTCTTGTAAGGAAAGGGTAAAAAACCTTTAAAGTATAAGAGGAATCACAAAACAAAAGACATGTTTGTGATCTATTCATTCTTGTAAATCTTATGTCAGTAGTCACCAAGAGTGATAGGGTTATGGACCACATCCCTCAAGATAACGCAAAACTTACGCTTTTTCTTTGCTAAAGCCCATGTCAATCAAAAATTCAGCGTCTTGAGACGACATTTTGCCTTGGGCTAAATTGCAGAAGATACAGGAATGACACGTTCTAACAGTGAAATTTCAACACTACTTTTTTTGCAGTTCACCGACTACCACATACAAATGTCAAGTGCTGCCAATAGCACGGTGGTTGTTACATACAGCCGATCTGCTGCGATCTGCTGGCAGGCACCTGCGAATAATGACAGGTACACTGTTGGTTGTTCAACTAAGAGGAGAAAATGAAGTTTAAGCTCTTCTACAAACTATTGGTTTATTTTCCACAATATCGTGAAGATCATGTACAGACAAACTTAGTAAACATTTCATACGGGTCTACCCTACCCCCAATTCTGATGCAGGCGCGGTTTTAAGTCCGACTGACGAAGGGGACGATTGACTGTGGGTAGCCTATTTTCAGGGGTTTGTAGGACAAATTGCCTACCTACCTCAGGGGGCGATTTGGGCCAAACGTAGGGGGGGGGGGGTCGCCCCTTCGCCCCGCCCCCTCCCCACAAAACCAAACCTCTATGTCCCAATGTCACGACATCCCCAGTGAGAATCCCTCGACGTAGACGTCAATGAGACGTCGAATAGACGCCGATTTGTATGCTTGAGGTCAAAATATCGTCGGCGCTTCGACTATCGAAGTCACATTGACATCCCAATCGACGTCAACGTTTCTCACCGAAGATCACTGCGTGAGCAGGTTTGGGCCTTCCCCCCTCAGGGCCGAATCCCTTCTCCAGCAGGTCCGTTCCGCCCAGTGCGACACCCAGAGCGAGAGTCGGAACAGGGCGTTGTGGAAGGCGCGGCCCGGGGCTGCGCGCATGGCGTGGTCCAGGACGACGCGGTAGAGCACGCGCCACACGCGGTCGCGCCGTGACATGACGCGCTCCACGGCCGGGCCCGAGAAGGGGCGGCGCGCGACCGCGCCCAGGACGTCGACGAGGAAGCCCAGCGACAGCGGGAGGGACAGGCCCGGGGCGGCGAGGGCGGCGCCGTCGCACAGCGCGGAGGCCATGAGCTGCCAGCGCTCGGAGGCGAGCGCGAGGCGCGGCAGCGCCCACCCGCCCACGATGGCCCGGCATCGCGCGCGGGCCGTGCGGAGTCGAAGCAAGCCGTCGTCATCCCGGAGCGACCCCTCCCCTAGAGCCTCCGGTAGAGAGTCGCCGCACACGTTGTAGCGGTCCAGGATGCCCAGCGCGCGGCCCAGGATCCACCACACGTACACGAGGGCATCCAGGTCCTCGTCCGTCACGGCGTGGGCCCCGAAGCGTGCCGGCTCCAAGACGAACAGGCCGATGAACGCCACCTGGACAGCCATGCATATGATGTTCACGGGTTTTTTCGCCCATAACGTTGGAAATCAACTCTGACCCAGCTCCGCCCCCACCTGCGTCACAGCCATGGAGCGCTGGTTGATGGCGGGGCCCGCGGCGCAGGTCGCGGTGGCCGACGGGGCGGCGGGGCACACGTCCGCGAACGCCTCGCGCGCCGCCCCCGCGACGCCGCCGTCCAGCCCAGGGTCAGAGGCGGGGCCGGCGGGGAGGAGGGCGGCTGCTCGGACGTGGAGGCTGCTGCCGGTCCCGGAGTCCTCCAGCCGTCTGGTCACGTGGTCGTGCATCCCGCGCACGGCCTGCGTCAGTCAGGAGGACAAAGTCAGCTCTACGCGTCCAACAGAGTTCCGTTTAGAAGTCCACCAGCACGCCACCGACTTGCTGCGCCACATTGTCTTTACCGACCCTGACGTTCCTGCCGGCCGCGGACTCGGGGTCCCAGATGTCGCCCTCGTACCACGTCCGGACCCGCCGCATGGTGGAGAGGTACCGGAAGTAGGCCTTGATCGGCGTGTCCGACCTGCCCGTCGCCAGGAGCACGGCCGTCTGGTCCTCGAAGGCGAACATCATGAGCATGGACACGAGCTCCGCGTAGGCCATGCTGAAGATGTTGTCCAGCGCGACGCGCTGGCCGCGGGAGAAGCGCGCCGCGTCGAAGCCGGCGGGGCGGGCTGAGGAGGAGATGCGGGGTCGAGCCCCAGGTACAGGAGGTCAGTAGTTGTCGAGCCGGCGTGAGCAACACCCATGAGGCCTTGGGGCCATGGACTCACCGGAGCAGGCCGCCCATGGGTGCGTCGGGGTGACGCAGCCCTCCTCGCACAGCGCACGCAGCCACCCGGCAACGTCCCGCGGCTGCAACAAGGAGAGCACGACGGTGATAGCACGCGCTGGCCAAGTACCCGTGGCGCG